AGAACAAAAAACACAAACCACATAAACAAACAGAAACAATTGCAAAATAAAAAAAAGAAAAGGCAACAAATGAGATGGAAAAAAGTTTTAAAATATATTTTATAAAGACAAAACATAATGAGAATAAGAGAAAAAAAAAAACCACCACAATATTGGGGGGGGGGAATGAAAGAAAAGAGTAAGAGTGAAAGAATAGTAAAGGAAAAATGGGAAGACTGCAAAAGGAAAACAAGGGATGGGAAGAACCAAAAGGACAAAATAAAGAAAAAAGAAAGGAAACAGGAAAAGGGGAGAGGAAAAAAACCAGGGAAGGGAAAGAGGAAAAATAAGTAAATAAAAAGGAAGAATAGAAGAAGAAAAAAAGAATAATTTAAGAACAAACAAGCAAAAACAAAACTGGGGGAGCAGGGCAGGGCACCTAGGCTCTGTCAGTGCACAGGCCAGGATGGTATTCCTGTTGGTCAAGAAGGGAGGTGTAGATGAGGGATAGCCCTACCTCTATTCACCAAGAGAGTGTGGGATATATGAGTAACAAGGGGAATATCACACCTTTCTAGTCATCAGCCTCCAGTCTAGGAAGAAAGGCTAGACTAGAAAGAAAGGCCTGATGATCTACTTCCACAAATTAGCTAATGAAAACCTGATGGATCATACCAGTCCAGTCTACAACCAATCATGGAGATGACACAGGACCAGGCAGTATTCTGTTCCATTTTGTGTGGGGTCACCATGAATTGGGGATTGACTCAATGGTAGCTACCAACACCATCATCACCACTAAGAACTGAAAATAGAGTCTACTGTCTAGCCCTCACCCTCCTATGCTCTAGGCCTCAAACACCCATTTCCTTGGTCAGGATGAATAGTTAATTTCTTTCTGCAGCTCCGTGAAGTTGAGAAGAGCCACAAGTCTGTCAAAGGCAAGGATACAGTCAAAGATTCAGAGGACACATTTAAAGGAAACTCCAAAAATGCCACCCAGCTCCAACTCACCAAAGAAGGTAAATTCTATTCCATTAGGAGTGCTTTTGACAACACTACATGGAAAGATATAAAGAGCATATGTTGTGAAATAAGACCAGTCTAGGATTGAAATTAGACTCTGATAATTATTGTTGTTGTTGTTGTTATTTGCCATCGAGTCGGCCCCGACTCCTAGTGACCCCTCCTTGGGTTTCTGAGGCAGTATCACTACGGAAGTAGGATTGCCCAACCTTCCTTCCGAGGAGTGGCTGGTGGGTTTGAACCGCTAGCCTTCTGGTTAGAAGTCAAGTGCCTTAGGCACTATGCTACCAGAGCTCCTCAGGGCCTCGGGCAGTCAGCTGCCACACCCAAGGCTGGTGGTTCAAACCCACCGGCCGCTCCCCGCCAGGTAGACAGGCCATCTCTGATAATTATTAGTGGTATGAAATTGGGCAAGTTATGAAGGTCTATTTTCTTATCTATGAAATGGGGATAATCATAGTGACCATCTCATGGGGTGGTGAAGATTAGATGAGATCATGCATGTAAATTGTTTAACAAAATTCCTAGCAGAGAGAGAACATCAATAAATGCTAGCTGGTAGTAGTAACAGTGGCAGAAGTAGGGGTAACAATATCTGGAAAAGGGAAAACAACCCCCCCTCTCCTGCAGAATCTTTCTCTCATGTCTATTCTGTTAAATTCTTCACCTAGTGCAATGATTTTCAATGACAGAATTCTTTTTTCTTTTTTCTTTTTTAATTTTTACTGTGATTTGGCTGAAAGTTTACAGAGCAAATTCATCTTCCATACAACAGTTCACATATACTTTGTCCCATGACATTGACTGTAATCTTCCACAATGCAACAGCTCTCTTCCCATTTCCTCCCCATAGCCACCTTTTCCCTGTGTCCTTCCCTCCCATGCACTCCTGCCCCCTGAGCTGTTTCCTTTGCATACACAGCCCATTTATTCTCCCATGACTCATCTCTCCAAGGACTGTATCTACCTAATGTAAATAAATATTCAGCTCATATGCCCGTCAATTATAGAATTCTTGTGTTCCACACAGGAAACCTGGGTTTGATATCCAGCCAATGCATCTCATGTGCAGCCACCACCAGTTTCTCAGTGGGAGCTTTTGTGTTACTATGATACTGAGAAGGTTTCAGTGGAACCTCAAGGCTAAGACGGAGTAAGAAGAAACATTCAGGGATAGATCACAATGGAGGAGAGAGCTTAGGGAGATGGCTATCCTGGAAAATCCCCAGTAGCCTTGCCCTCATTTTGTTTCTCTTTCTTGAAATATTGGATAGGATGATTCAAGCTGTTACAATAAGCAAGCTCAAAATGTCACAGTGGGAATGCATCAGTTCCTCTTCAGTCTGCTTTTTCATTGTCCATCATTCATATGCATATGAGGCAATTAAAAAGACTATGTTTGGGTCAGGTGCACCTTAGTCATTAAAGTGACATCTTTGTTTTTGAAACCTTTAAAGAAGTCTTTTGCAGTAGATTTGCCCAATACAATAAATACACCATTTGATTTCTTGACCACTGCTTCCATGGGCATTGATTGTTGATCCAGGTAGAATGAAATCAGTGACGATTTCAATTTCTTTTTCATATTTGCAAATTCAATAGAAGGGTTTTTTGTTGTTGTTGTTTTTTGTTATTTTTCTTTCTTTCTCATTCAACATAAAGTCCAAATTGGGTGTTTTTACTTGATGGCCACTTCTTTCCAACTGATGATGTGGGGGCCCAGGTTCCTTCTAGCCTGTGGCTGCACCTGCATCCAGCTAGTGCAAGGGAAGGACCCTGGAGGGTACACCTACAAGTGGTACACATCAAAGTTGAGGACTCAATAACATAGCCACACCCATCCACAAGGGAAATCTTGTCCCAGAGAAGAGGAACTAGGTTTGATGAAGATCTGGTCAATCTTTGTCCCTAACTTGGAGTTAGGAGAAGAGAAGCAAGCAAGCAAGTGAAAGAGCTAGAAATCATACCTGCCACCAAACAATTTCCATGGTCCCTGCCCTTCTGTCATCATATTAGGCCCTGGCAGCCACCCTGTGAGGCTATTGTTATTGTTGTCCCAGTTTCACACTTGAGAAAAACCAGACTCAAGAGAGGCTAGCCTAAGGCCAGACCTCAAAGCCAACTTCTCCAGACAACAGCTCCTACTCCTTGAACAGATCTGCTTATGCAAACACTAGGCCAAGATGCCCCAGACCCCTGAGGGCAATCTGACAGCTCTTCTTACTTGATCAAACAATGTGGAAATCTACATGTACTGTAGGGAAACTCCAGAAAACTCTACGTTGATGCCAGGAAACTAGAACAAACTCTCTAACATCATCATTGTCTTGGCTCATTTTCCAGAAACCACATCTCACTCTGCCAGCCAAAGCCAGACCCTGGATAAGAAGGCACAGGGCCTTGGAACCTCCAGTTCTACTGACAGGATTGTGCTGTCTGCCACCAAGAATGTCCTTGTACCTCAGCCCCCTGGAATCAGACCAGATTCTGGCCAACCCCAGCCTCAGACTCATCCTTGGAGGTCAGCTTCCAGAAAGAGTGCACAGAGACCACCCCCCTGACACATGGCACTTGCTAGAGCACCACTTCTGGGGCTGAGCCTCAGGCTCCACCATCTCTCACACACACACACACTCAAATTGGTGTCCTCTCTTCTCTCCTCTCATACATTCATACTCTGTCTCTTCTCATTTAGTGTGCAACTTTGATTTTAGTCTCAGGCCCCTGCTCTTTAAGGAAACTGAAGCCTTGCCTGCACTAAGTGCTCTTCCCAATACCTTGATTCAGGCACCTTGGACCTTGCATTCATGGTGGTTTCCTTTGGCTACGAGCTTTGAGAGGTGGGAACAGAGTTGTGAGGGACCCCCTTCCTTTATAGATTTTTTTTCACGGTGTACATTTTGGGAGGCAAATTTCTGCCAGCTCCATGACCTATGAGGAGAATGAAGAGAGGCTCACATTTCTGGCCATCACCTCCACCTAAAGGAGGCAAGGTGGTTTAAATTAAAAGGACAAGTCACCAATGAAAGTGAAGATAAATGAACCAAAGTTCAATCTTGGTGGGAAGGGAGATGATGTTCCCCCAGAACCTGACCTAAGGGAAACTTACACCATTAAGCACAAAAACTGAATTGGAGCCTCCAAGTAGCCAGGCAAAGGAGTAAAGTGAGGATGTTTCTTCTCTAATTTAAAGTAACTTAGAGATGCTCAGGGCAGAAAGGTATTTTTCATACACTAAAAGGCATTTGACAGAACACTTATTGTACAAGGACCTTGAAGATGGATTCTTGGAAGGATTTTGCAGAGGATGAAATGTAGACCTTGTCTCTGGTGATTCTGTAATTGGTTTTGTTAGTTGTGGTTGAGTTGGCTCTGACTCCTAGTGACTTCCGGTATAACAGAACAAAATATTGCCTGCACCATCCTGATGGCAGTTGCTATGTTTGAGCCCACTGTTTTGGCCACTCTGTCAGTACTTCTACCAAAGATCTCCCTTGCCTTCACCAACCCTCCACTTTACCAACTATGGTGGTTATGTTTTTGTGTCAACTTGGCTGGGCCTACTTGAGTGACTGAGCAACTGGATGTAGTATTCCCCATAATGAGATTGGTAATCAACTCCATGGTGGAATCTACTTATAAGCAGCTGAGTAGCTGCCTTAGGGAATGTGATCTGCTTCCTGTATTTAAGCAGAAGCCTTGGGAATGGTCTCTAGCCTATGGCATGCTTGGACCCTGCATGTAGCCACGTCATTGCTCAGCAGCCTGCTATGCTCTGCCGACCTTGGGACTTACAATGGACTTAAGTTAATGGCCTGCCGTGTGGTTTGGTAATATCGGGACTGTGCCTTTTTACTTGTCAACCTTGGGGCTTCTCAGCCTCAGCAGCCAGCAGCTGTCTGAATTAAGAAATGCTTCTAGCTCCAGTGGGCTGGGAGCAGGAGGCAGAGCTGGACCCCAAGGTTGAGGGGCTTTCCATCTAGCCCCTAGAGTCTGGCACTTTGAACTTGGACTTAAAGCCTCCAAATTGTAAGAATAAACTCCTGTTTGTTAAGGCCATCCCATTTGTGGTATATTTCTTGTCAGAGTGGCACTAGGTAACCAGAACACCAACCATGATGTTTTCACTAATAACTTGTCTTTCCGGATAATGTGCCCAAAGTAGCAAGCAGAAGTTTCACCATCCTCACTTCTAAGGGACATTCTAATTGTATTTCTTCATTTAAAATGGATTTGTTTGATCTTCTTACGGCCCACAGGATACTCAAAATTCTTTTCAACACCACATTGGGAATGCATAAATTCCTCTTCTGTCTTCCTTTTTCATTGTCCATCATTCATATGCATATGAGGTGATTTAAAAGACTATGGTTTGGGTCAGGTGCACCTTAGAAAGTGACATCTTTGTTTTTGAAACCTTTAAAGAAATCTTTTGCAGTAGATTTGCCCAATACAATAAATACACCATTTGATTTCTTGACCACTGCTTCCATGGGCATTCATTGCTGATCCAGGTAGAATGAAATCATTGACAATTTCAATTTCTTTTTTATTTATCATGATGTTTATTGGTCCAGTTTTAAGGATTTTCATTTTTTTCATGTTAAGTTAATCCATAGTAGAGGCTGTAGTCTTTAACCTTCAGTAAGTGATTCAAGTCACTTTCATTTTCAGCATTGTGGTTCTATGCAGAATATTTACTGGGTGGAATCAAGGTGAGGGTCACAATCCAAAACCGAGAGAGTGGGGTGCTTCTCTGACAGATACCTAAAATGTGGAAACAAGAGTGGAGTGTATCCTTGACCCAAGACCCTGGCAGAGAGACCCCGGCATATGGTATGACAGACGGCAGGAGCAGAGCTGAGAGACCAGCATGAGAGACGGCAGGAGCAGAGCCCAGAGATCGGCATTAAACAGCAACAGGCTTACCAGCCCATGGAGGAGAAAGCTGGATGCCTGGTGGAGTGGGTTGCCTTTGGACATTAATTGGTAGAAGAGACCAGCACGAAATGGAGTAGCAGGTTAGCCGGCCCACAGAGTAAGAAAGCTGAGTGCTTTTTGGACAGGAAGATTTCCACCAGAGTGGGTTGCCTTTGGCATTAATTGGCAGAAGTGGAGACCGGGGAAACGGAAGCAGAGCTGCCTCAGCCTGAAAGGGTAGGACCATGGCCTTTGGGGGTGGAACCACCACAGCCCCCTAGGTTTCAAAGAGCCAGACCTTCACCAACTTGGTTCTGGAGTGTGGGGCTCCTTGTTCATGTGAGTCAGTGGGATGGAGCCATAGCCGCTGCCCAAGAGTCAGGGGGCGGGGCTGCCATGC